CGTGTGCACGCATGCACGCGTTGATGGGCCGCAACACAAGCCCGCTGTGCAAGGCAGGGGCTGGGGCTGATGCACGCAGGCGGTGGGTTTGTTGCAAGCAGGCCCTTAGCCTGACCTCCCCTGGGACGGCCAACGCGTTCAACCTGCAGATCTCCAGGCGAGAGTGTCACATGTACGTGCTCTCCCGCGCCAGAGTGCTGCTGCTTGACTTTGTCCGCCAGCTCGCCGCGCGGCAGCGCAGCGCGGTCGGGGCCGCGGCGGCCGCGAGCGCGGCCAACGACGCGCGGCAGGCGGCGCTCGCTGCGCGCGAGGAGGAGGAGGTGCAGGGGCGGCTGGAGGCGCTGCTGGGGGCGAGCTTTGCTTACCTGGGAATGCCGGAGCTGAAGCAGGTGCGCAGCAGCTGCCTGTGGGGCCAGGCTGCAGAAGCTTTTGACCGGACGGTGCTCGCTCACGCAACCCGAGGTCTGATGGCCGGGCCGTCTGCGCTGAGATGTGTGACAAGCCCTGCTGGACTTGACCGTCTGATGTTGGCAACAGGCTGCTTACGCCCAACGCCCAGCCTGGAGGGCTGGACATGGCAGGCGCAGCAGTAGCAGCCGCAGCGGCTGTGGTGGCGGCGGCGCCGGCAGAGCACTCGCCAACGCCCCGGCTGCCGCATTGTTACTCGCTCAACCATCACCCCCTTCACCCCAGATCCCCTTGGAGGTGCTCAACTCGATGGAGCGCGTTCCCGCGCCCTTTTTGAAGCTGCTGGCGGAGGACAGGGAGGTCTTCAACAGCCTGCCGCAGAGGGTCAAGCAGCAGGTGCGCCGCCCCCGCGCTCCGCCGCCCCCTGCTTTGCGCTCCGCCACCTCGGCGCCCTGCCCGTGCGTTCACAGGGCGCGCCGACGCGTGCGCAGAGCGGGCGGTCCAGGCTTGCTCAGCGCACCTCTGATGCGCCGCGCCGCAATGATGGTGCGATGAGCAGGTGTGGGAGTACGACAAGGGCCTGCTGCAGAGCGTGGCCATCGAGACCATCGCCACATACAAGTACGAGGCAGCCACCCTGCTGTCGTGCCTGGACATGCGCCAATTTGTTGGCCAGCGGCCCCTGTGGGAGGACGACGACAGAGAGGAGGGCGGCGGCAGGGGCGGCGCGGGCGCGGGCACAGGCGGCGGCGCCGGCGGCGGCGCGCCCCTGCCGCCGCGGCCGGGCGGGCGCGGCGTGAGC